GACATCAAATATTTACAACATGTATTTTTTCAGTAAAACTAGATAAGGGGACACAACTGAGGTGACAATGAAGTTTTGAGAAATGTGCATAAAAAGTTGAATCTAACCATGTTAAAAGGAAGGAGACCACTAAGAGAATGTAAAATGAGAAGAAAAAAATTGTAACACAAATCCTTGGAGAATTCCTTTTGAAATTGGAGAGGAAAAGTACCAACATGGTGTGATTTTACTTGGCAGAAATGTAGAGAAGGAATTGAAAGAGAGGGAAACTAGTAGCGGTATGGAGAGGTTATTTCAAGAAGCAAGTGTTTGACTAATAAATTCAGGGAAGGTAAGAAAGCTTGATCTGATAAAAAGGTTATTGGATACCGTGGCTAGATCACAACTTAAATGATAGGGAACTTTCAATAGTAAACTCAGGGTCCAAGTTTATAAGAGTAGTGTCAGAAGTTTAAGGATGAAAGGAGTGAGATTTTCTGTGGTCTCTATATTTTGAAGCCATGACTGCATAGTGATGAATCTTCACCAAACTTTACACAAGTTGCAAAGGAGCTAACTCCATTCCTGCTTAGGAAGCAGTCCACGCTGTTTCACTGAAGTGAATGGTGATTTATAAATATAAAGAATGTAAAACAAAAATAAATAGTGTCCTGTTCTTCCTGCCTTTGTACTAAATAACCATGCAAGGTTCTCCATACTGTACTGAGTATGCTACATTAGCAGCACCAATGAGCAGAATGACCCAAGAGAAAAAGATGTGTGTTGGATGCATCATCAGCACTGCTATTGGCTTATATCATCTGGGTTTATAACGAAAAGTAGAATAATCAGCAAGTTACTTACACCCAGGAGATTATCATTTCTGCTGTTTGACCTAGCGTGTCTTTTAGAAGGACTCCTCTTTGCTGAGTTTCTCAAAGTTGATATTAAATTTTTAATTAAAGTAGAGCTCAGTAAGAGCATCTTTACCACTTTGCAATCAGCTTTGAGTCTTAAGACATAATAACTGCAGTTCTAATATTAATCAGAATAATTATTCAGAAATTCATAAGAGTGTGTCATGGGGTAATTGTTTGGATTAGGAAACTGAGAGCCTTTCTGCTCCTTCCTCCGTTTCAGGACTTGATGTAAGAAAACAATGACTATGTATAAGATGGCGGTACTAACTCATTTTAGAGCATTGTCTTTGAAATTATATCCAGAGATTGTGACACATTATTTGGATATTCTTGGTGACAGTAAATTTTCCTTCTTTGAGGATGGATATAAGTTAGGGAAATGGCTTTAAATTTTGAAGGCATTGCTGGGGAATAAGGTAAAGCTCAACATGAGAAATTGTATTGCTAATCAAATGAGGAGTAATTTTAATAGTAATGCTGTTTCCCCATAGTAAATTCCCCTTAATACTGGAATGAATAAAGTAGTATAAAACAGATGTTTATAGATGACGTTAGCAGAACAAGGAACTCATTTCCTTGTGTATTGTGTCAATAGTGTCACGTGTCCACATTATATTGAGGAGAACTTCAGTATTAGAATGCAAAAATACTCTTGAATATTTTGAGAATAGAGTGTTAGAGTATGGCACTAAGTTTTTAATCATGAGATGGTCACTGCAAACTGGGTAAGCAAAACACCTTAGTTCAAAGCAGCCATTACTTTATTTTAAAAATATATTTTATTGATTTTTTTAGAGAGAGAGGAAGGAGATGGAGAGCAAGAGGGAGAAGGAGAGGGAGGGATAGAAAGAGGGGAGAGAGAGAGAAAGAGAGAGAGAGAGAGAGAGAGAGAGAGAGAGAGAGAGAGACTGATGTGATAGAGAAACCTTTATCAGTTGCCTCCTATACACCCCAACTGGGGATCAAACCTGAAACCTGGGTATGTGCCCTCACCAGGAATTGAACCAGCAATCTTTGGGTGCATGGGATGATACTCAACCAACTGAGCAACACTAGCTAAGGCAAGTCAGCATTTCTTAATTGTAAATCACAATAATATTTATATCATGGTTGGGGACAGGGACAGTGACTGTCCGAAGGTAAGATTGGACATGAGCAATTTTGACCAAATGGCAGTTATTTGTATGTGTAGAAAGGCACATTAAGAAAGAAATATCTAGAAAAATAGAGGCTATAGACAAATTGAAAACTGAATATGTGCCAGGAAGAGATAAAGAATAAAGGAAGAGGGTTGGAGAGACTAGGGATAGTCAGTAAAGAAAGGCCATTTTTATAAAATTATGTTAATTGAAGAATTAGCTGAATTGCCTGGGAAGAAAAGTGCCTTTTAAGTTAGGAGAATTGTGATAACTTCTGGAGTTTTGTACAGCGCGGGTCTGTTGTTGGGCCACAGCCAAATGTTTCCAGATGGCCCTGGTAATCAGGAGGCCCCCTGACAACTCACTCCAGAGTCTAAAACAAATGGAAAATGAAAGATATGGCTCCTTAGTAAGATTGCCTATGCATTCAAACAGTGGCATCCATTATCGAGCATTCTGCTGATCCTGTGGCTGCTATTCCTATCACAGAAGCTATTTTACTTAAGATGAGAGGAGGTCTTGTTAATAAATAACACTGCCTATTATTCCTGTACTATTTAGGTGACATACCAACACTGAAGGAAATAAAATGAAATAGACCCAGAGAGAATTTTGTAGCAATTTCCCCCTTTTATATGCCATATGGAGCCATCAATCTCTGAAAAAAATTAAGATTTAAGATATACATGTTAGCACACATATATCCATGTATAAAATAAGAAACTACAGTGGGGCCTTGATTTACGAGTTTAATTTGTTCCGAGACCGAGCTCATTAAGGAGCTCGTTAACTCAAATTACTCTATCAACTCAATGCAAAAAATCAGCCGAGAGACAGCTGGTATCTCAAAAAACTCGTTAGTTGGGACCACTCGTAAGTCAAGGCCCCACTGTACTACAAATTTTTCCTAGATGGGTTTTCACAATGGAAGGACTTTTTCATGTATATTAAAAATGGGTATAGTTATTTTCAACTTCTGTAATAGGGCAAAGACAAAAATATAAACATGAATAAAAGGCAGGAATCTCATCTTTGCTTTATGTTAAAGTATGAAATAAATGTAAAGAAATATATTCATTTTTTTTCTGAGATAAATGAGACTGCTCTACAGAAGATTGGTAATAAAAGAAAAGATTTCAATTGACATATTATTATAAAGATGTAACCTAGAAATTTTAGAAAATTGTGTTAGAAATATGGGGATGAGTTGAAGATTAGTAAAAATTTAAAGGAAAATATGAATATTTGATAAACAAATAGCCAATCTTGCTTTCCTTTTTTTATATCATACAATAGTTGCTAAATATTACTGCCTGTTATTTATTGGTTGTCTGAAAATTGATTACTAGAATCTGTGTACATTTTAGCAGTTTTTATTTATTAAGCAAATCTATTTTTACATAATTCTTAATTACAAAGCAATTCTGTTTTTGTGAAAGAGATGAAATGAAATAATGTTGGTCCTGTCCTTTAAATAGGGTTAATTAATTTAAAAAGATGTTTTTGATATTATGCTCTGGATTGTTAGATTATGTTTGTGGATAGCTAATTTGTATTCCTTGGATTGAAACAACTCTTGAGATTAAAAAATATCAGGAATTTATTTACTCAAAGCCATGTGGCTGACTTGAAATGGTGCTCTTAAGCACTGGATCGTTTAACATGAATCATTTCCATAGGGCCTTGTAGGGCATGAGTCTTAGAAAAAGTAAACCCTACTTCTCAAAGGGATATGTTTAGATTTGTATTTTGAAATTTATTTTGACTATATTGTGGGGAATAGAATGGAAGGGGCATAATTGGATGAAGGAGGAAAGTTGGGTAGGTATTCCAAAAATCAATTAAAAGCATCAACTCTGAATCCAGGTTGCCGAGGATTGAGCACAGCATACTTACTAGCTGTGCGACTTTGGGTGAATCACTTAGTCTCCCTATGTATCAATTTTCCTATTTAGGAACAATAATAGTTGTTACCTCAGGGGTCATCATCAGAAATATATGAGTTAATGTATCAGAGAACATGCCAGGCACAAGGCAAGCACAATGTAAGTGCATGTGGTAGTAAACTAGGATTAGAATGGTGATAGAAAGAAGTGGACCACATTTCAGTACATTTAGGTATTAGAATGAACAATGCTTAGTGGTGGTCTGACTATAAGTAGTGAGGAAGGTAGTGTCATATGCCATTCACTGAAATATAGTCTTAAAGGATAAGGGATTGTGTGAGTCATGGGAACTTACAAATATACATATGGTCCTAAGAATGATGGTCCTAAGCCAAAAAATGTTGTTAATAGTCTTTATTTTGTCTGAGTAGAACATATGGGATAAGTTAAGTCCATGGGAAAGATAAAAATTAAGTGTTCTGAACTTCATTTAGTTACTACTTGACTGAGTGATATAAGTGAGAAAGAGGTTTCCCTCCAGTGATATGATACAGGTGGTGAGAGTCTTGCACCCAACTTCTCTTTAATAAGTTTGCATCATCAGTAAGTGATATGCTTCACAATCACACTGACCTTCTGGTATAAAAGTATCATTAGCACAACAACGCCTTTTAAAGGAATCAGTATTATAGGGAATGAGCTATTATAAATATGTATAAACCCCCTGTAACTATAGTTTGTTCTTATAACTAATGGTTTTTAATTGTACCCTTTTTTTTAATGAGGCTGTCCTAAAATATGTTTACAATCACACAATTTGTTAAAAATAATGTAGGTATTTTTATAAATCTAGAATTATTATTTTAATGTTTTATAATTTTTTGAAATCCTTAAATAGAATGCTAAGTAAATAAGTGCTCCTACATTTGATGGATCATTGATTGATATAATCTTCATATTTCTTTTAATTGTTGGTTATTTTTTATTTTATATAAAAGGGCATTAAGTTGCAAATAAATCTATGATTGTATGCCAATGTTATTAACTTATCCTTTCTGTTTTCCTTATTCTTCTAGTCTGCTCCCAGTTTTCAAGAGGAGTCTATGCTATTTTTGGATTTTATGACAAGAAGTCTGTCAATACCATCACATCATTTTGTGGAACGCTCCATGTCTCCTTCATCACTCCCAGCTTCCCAACTGATGGCACACACCCATTTGTCATTCAGATGAGACCTGACCTCAAAGGAGCCCTTCTTAGCTTGATTGAATACTATCAGTGGGACAAGTTTGCGTACCTCTATGACAGTGACAGAGGTAAGTGAAAATATCCCTATCCCTTGATAATGGGTCAAATTCAATGCCTACCTTGACACTTATATGGGACGTTACAGATCTACCTAGCTGTCTTAAAGTCCAAAGGTTACATGGTTTAATTTTGCTGTGTAAATGAAAAATGCAATTCAAAACCTGAGAAACATATTTAGAGTGAAAATAAAAAAAAATTGTAAATGTACATTTTACAGATATAGACTGTGTCAGCCAAAGGCCCAGCTGTAATGTAGAAAGCACTTTCTGATAGCAGCAGTTAAAACTCTGTGGTGACTAGATTACTAGCTCAAGGTCAGTAAAGTGGTTGCCTTGAAAATTGGTTGAAGTAAAATTTGTAGTAATCTTTATATATATATATATATATATATATATAGCTAATATGCAAAGTGTCTCCTCGGGAGTTCGACCGGAGACCAGGAGTTCGATCGCTCACTGTGATGTGCGCTGACCACCAGGGGGCAGCGCGAAATGAAGGAGAGCCCTGATCACCGGCCAGGCCTAGGGACCCTACCCATGCATGAATTTAATGCACTGGGCCTCTAGTACATAAATAAGAGCTGCTAAAGAAATTTATAGTTATCACATATTTTCAAGTGCAAAAGTTTTATCAGGTAGTTACCATTATTATTTAACTTAGCTTTAAAATGGGATTGCTGAATCTCAGACAAGTTAAAGCCTTGCTCATGGTCCTGTGATATGTGACCCTGCTGAACAAAGGTTTTTTGACACCAGATTCATGTTTATTTCACAATTCTATCTGATTGTTTATAATGAGATGTTCTTGATTAGCATGCTAATTGGATAGAGTCTTGGCTCATTATATAAATTTTATTTTGGGGGTGGTCCTTCCTTGTGTTTTCTCTGTCCATTGTTGAGAAGTTTAATATTAGCAGACCTGCCTGATTCACATATTGTAGTATCCCAGCTATCTTAACCATCCCTGGGTCCATGATTCAGCGTCAGTGGGTCTGTGTACTACCTAAAATTGTATGAACATTTTGTGCACATGTTCATTTACGTAATTTTCTAGAAGGAGTATCCATAACCAAACTGGAAAGGGTTAAGAACCATTATTGTAAGAGTACCTAAGTACTCTTCTTCAGTAGGTTGCTTCCTGGAATATTTAAAGGTTCGAATGAAAAACAGAAGCCTGTTTCCACCAAGACAGGGCACCTCGTTCACCCGCAAGGGCAGACAGGAAGAGAGCCAGCCATCAGTCAATTCTCCATTGATCAGTTTATAGTCATTTGCTGCAGGAGGCCCGAGTCAGGAGTACTCAGCTAGGTGTCTGATTCTCTGCCCCGTCCTCCCAGTCCTGACAATGAGAATGCTCAGTGGAAAAATGAGTCAGCACTATACAAGCTGAAAAATTTGCCTTGTCAACAACTTTTTCTTCAGGCTTTGAGAAAGGAGCGCTTTGCTCTTCCATGGCGAATGGAAAACTAAAACACAGAACTATTTAATGTGAATATGGACTCCAATGTGCTGGATAATTCTGAACCATACTTTATATTAAGGTGGTAAAAAGCCTTATAGAACTGAGCCAAATCTTAAGTCTTTCCTCTTATTGTCTCAACTCCTTGAGTATTCCATTATGTTAATAAAACTAGCCTTAAATTGGGAGTATTCTCAGCAGCTCTTTCAGCCTTGCATTCTATTGATGTGATTTCCAACTAAATATATTTTATCTCTAGACACTCTTCTTTTTCATTGCCCTGACTCCAGACCAAGCCACTGTCATGTGTTTATCCCATTGTCTCTCCATTTCCACACTTTTTACTTAACTCAGTTCCACAAAGTAGCCAGAATTTTTAAATGCTTCTCTGAACACATCACTCTCTTGCTTAAAACACTTCAATGACTTCTCATTATAATGCATATAAAATTGAAAATTCTTAGCACAGCTTTAACACTGGTTCCTGCCAACTTATCCTACTGTCCAGCCCACTCACTAAGCTAAATCCACCTAACTAACCTTCATTTGCCTCTCAGATGAACCAAAGTCTTTCACCTCAAATCTCTGCACACATTTCTAATTCTTTCTCTCCCTTCATATCTGTTTATATAGCATTTCCACAGAGATGCATTTCATACTGATATTCTCTTTCAAAGCAATCTTTTCTTTTCCTACATAATACTTATCACAATTTGTGATTAATAATGGTGTTCATTCCTTCACCAAGGAATGCTACTGAGCTTCCACTATATTCCAGGGACTGTTTTAATCATGCAGGCTAAGGATTATCCTTTTTATTTAAGATCTGGCTATAAACCTCAGGAAGGCAATGCCGAAGCAGGACCCAGGACACTGGTGTACAGTTCTTAACTGTACACACAGTGCTGAAGATAATGCTGGGACAGAGTTGATAGTCAATAAATAGTGGCCAGAAGTGAATGGGTTTAGCCTCTGTGTATTTTAAGTTTGAGATGATGTTAGAACCTGCTGCATCTTGCTTGCTAACTCCAAGGATCAGAAGATGAATTCTCTTTACCGTTTCACAAAGTTGAAGGTGGCATTTTTACTTTAGGGACATACTTTGCCCTCACTGTGCCCTCTAGTTGAAACTGAACTTTTGAGAACATTTAAGTAGACAACAGCTGACATAAATAGAAAAAAAGAAATTCTAGTATTTGAGAGACTAAAGAAAGGAAAGCTCTGGGGAATGATGTGGTGAAGGGGGATGGATTTATGTACTTGTGAAAAGAACCCTAGACATTTAAAATGATTTTATTAACACTTTAGAATTATTAAATGAAATTTAAGTGATGGGATAATCTCCAGTCATTAAATTATACAAATGAATTTGAGTTCAAGTGCATTGTTGAAAGAACAGGAGAGTTATAATATTAAGTAATTATATAGTAAAGCCAAAAATGACATTATGGATTCATCTTTACATTTTTATTAAATAGCTGCTCATGTTTTAATATGAAGAGTATTGCACTGGCCTTTCATCTGGAACTATTTTTGGGGATAAGTGTGTAAGACTCAAAACACTGGCATAAGATTTGACCTTAATTTAGTGTTTTACTTGACTCAGGGAAATGGGATTTTTTTTATTATAATAATTTTATAGCTTTGCCATCATATTACATGCATAAAAGTTTATTTATGCATTCATCACATGACCTTGTTTCTTTCCTTTGGTTCTTAAGCCATTTGTTTGTTTGTTTGTTTTTTACAGTTCAGGGAAGCACCCTCTTATTTTAGCACTACAGGAGTTGAGAATGCATCTATGTTCTCTTTACTCATAGTACACATGCTTTTAAAAATAGGTTCCATAATTTCATCTCTCAACTTACATCTCTGCATGGTTCAATTTCAATAGATTTGGTCTGTTCTTCTGGAATGATATGCTTTTAAATTTATTTTCTGTGTTTAATAGGCTTTATTTTCTGATGGTCTAGATCAGGTAACCATATTTAAAATTTTTAATTTCTAAATAAAAGAATTGATGTTCTTTGGAACAGCAGAGGGCTCAAGCATGAAAATGGCTCCCCAACATTCTGGTCTGCATATGAATTAGATGAAAAAGACTTAAAGTGCTTCCATGCTGCTTCTTTGCACTGCTCTTAACAATAAATCCTTCCCTGCATCCAATTACTCATGACATCCAGTGCTGAGCCACAGTCCAGAGAGTGCATCCCAGTTGTAAACAGAAGAGAACGTAGATGTCTCCTAATCTTTGTACAGGTCATTTTTGATTCTTTCAAAGGTGGGTGAGAGGACTGCTGAAAATGTTCATGGGTTGCTGTGTGACCTTTAGGACTGCTGGTGTCTTCTATTTATCCAAACATGTGGCAATGGCCTGGCAATACTTTATGACCTAGTGCTCTTTCTAAAAACTGTTTATTATTCCTCCATAGAGAGTTGGTAGATAGACCTTAAATACATTTTGAACTATGGGCTAATAGGGTTATCTATGTCAATGAATTAAATACAGAATTATTTTTGAATATATATAAAAGCCTAAGTGACCAAATGACTGAATGACCTAATGACCAGTCACTATGACGTGCACTGACCACCAGGGGCAGATGCTCAACACAGGAGCTGTCCCCTGGTGGTCAGTGTACTCCCACAGCAGGAGTGCCACTCTGCTGATCAATGTGAGCCAGATGCAGGACTGACGGCTGGTGAGTGCTGCTGTAAGTCTCTCCAGATCCAGACTTACTGGGCATGAGCCTGCAGCAGGTGCAGCGGGGCTGGGATGAGTGGTGGTGGTGGTGGGGAGGAGGACTCCACCAGTGCACGAATCCATGCACCGGGCCTCTAGTATATATACTAAACTAGAACCAGACTCAATAAAAAGTGCTTTTTATTTATCAGTTTAATGTCAATAAGGTAAGGTAATATATTTCTACAGACAGTAGGTAAAATCAGAACTAATGTTTTATATCTTCATGTCTTGGTTTTAATTTTGAGCCATACTGTTTTCCTGAAGGGAAACACTTTTATTTCAGAACCAAGAACACATCATGCATAGAATAAAAATTCTTCCAAATAATACATTTTCTTTTCAGATGTTCCTGAAAAAGTCAATGAGAGAAATATATGTTAATTTAATATGGCTTAGGCATGCTGCCATGATTTAGTGATCATGAATATTAATTTCTGTGCCTGAAAGATGAATAAGGCCAGTGAATTTTTAATGGACCAAAGAAAATATTTTTAAGAAGGAAGACATGGTCTGAATGAAATACACCTATTTGCAGTAATCATTTTTTAATTCCACCCATTAATGTTAAAACTAAAACATTTGGACTCACCTGTTTTTAGGCTGATGGATTTTCTATAACCTCTCACAATGTTATTAGCACTAGCTCACAATGAGACTGAACTACTGCTACTAATACTTAGAGTTTTGGGGAGATTAAGATAGGTTCTACAGCTATAACTAGTGCAGTAAAAATTAGGCATAAGGGGATGTAATGTAATCCAACAATTCTTTAGCCATTCTTTATTTTAACTAAAAGTCTGAGAATTTAGAACTTAATTTTCAACTCTTGTATGTTTATGAGGTTTTTATTGAACATATTTTTAATATATTTACTAAAAGGAACAGTTAATTTTCTGGATTTTTCTGTATAGTATATGAACAACTATGCATTTTAAGTTTTCTTTTCTAAGTAATTCAGCAATAATAAATTAGTCTTTGCTGTAATAACTCAAGTATATAGTAATATGTATATATTAGAGTTGAATAATTAATACCTACTAATGGCTTTAAATAAGCCAATATTCATATAGAACCCCCATTGTTCACCCATATTTATATTCTGAATTAGGGAAGACTCATATTATAAAGATACTTCTATGCTAGTTTGTGTGAAAGGGAAAGAGATCCCAAGTAATACTTGCTTCCCTAATTAGAATATGGTACCAAGAGACTAAGAGCATGTGTTTATGTTATATTTAAAGAATTTAATTTCACATCAATATTTATAACATGCATTTATTTTCAGTGATTTTTAAAGTTTAAAATGATCCATTAATTTAAAAAACACAAGATAGTAACAAACTTTTCCTTATGGGGAAGAGGCAGATCAAGTTGAGAGAGAGTTTGAGAGGGTTACTGAAAAAAGAAATCTAAGAATATGAATCACTAAACATATGGGTCAGCAGTCTCTTCAAATCCTGAGTCCGATGATACCAAGGTGTGTGACTTATTTCCGCTGTCGTTAGATGATTTAATGTTGTTCAGTGTCTTCTGATGAAACTAAATTCATCAAGTGTGATATTGATTACTTGAGCAGTTTAGCTTCTTAATAGATGAAAGTTATTTATTTCAGTTTCATAGGTTACAAAATATTAATTCTTAGAGTTTTAATAACAGAGAATCCACACCAACTGAGTTACTTTTGACTCAGAATAAATGAGTCTGAAACCCAGCCATTACTTTAAATGAATTCTTATTGATTTTATATACCATATTCTTTGACAAGAGGAACTGCCAATAAACATTAGGCTAAGAAATATCAGTTGATAAATTCCACTTGCCAATTGTCATTTATATTTAAAATTCCTTGTAACATATGTTGAAAAATAGGACAGAATGTCAAGAACATCACCACTTGAAACTTATTTTAGTGGGTGGTAAAATTCATAACTAAATAACTAAGAAATAAAATAATTTATTTTCTAGAAGAAAGGAAGTCCACTTGTAAGTGCTCGATGATAATATGCGGATAGCATATAGAACATCATCTATGGGTGACATGAAAAAGTTGCCTAATGATTGGAATGTGGAAAAGTAAAATCTTGACAGTAGAAGAGGCTTAGAAAAATAGCTTTTTTTTTTCCTACTTGGAAAGAAAACTGGATAGAGTTAATGACTGTTTTGATAGCTGTTGAATTGATCATGATGACCAGCTGTGCATTCTATCTTCATTGATGGAAAACAGGAATAGGATTTGAATTGTATTATGGGAGGATTTAATTTACTTACAGTGAATCATAGGTGATCCATTAAGTTATTAAAAGATGTTTTGTCATTAATAATTTTTTACCATAGCATTTTATCTCTATAAATTTTCCCTTGAGCAATTCTTATTTATACTATAGTTTTTTGTTACAAGACTGGATAAAGGAAACTAATTTTACCAAAGAAACATAAAATTCACTTTAAGTTCAATTTATGGTTCAGCTTTTCAAATTGAAATAAAAGTAATGTCTTTTACATTTTCATTATGAAATATTTTAAATAACAAAATATAGAGGATAATACAAAGACCCCCAAGAACTCTTAACCAGTTAATGACCATAATATGAGAAATCTTGTTTTACTTATAGCCCTCTGCCTTTCAGTTATTTTGAAGAAAATACCTGACATCATGACATTTCATCTGTTAATATTTCAATGTGTATTTAAAAAAATAATTCCCTTGTTTTAAACATAGCCACAATATCATCATATATAAACAACAATAATTCATTATTTTTTCATATATTTTTTATAGTTTGCTTGAATAAGGATAAATATAAGGTCCAAATATTTCAGTTGGTTAAGATATCTCTTAAGGCTTTTATAATGTAACTAGAGGCCTGGTACATGGGCTGATCGGGCCTTCCAGTTGCTGGCCAGGTCTTCCTTCATTCCACGCCACGCCCTGGTGGTCAGCACATGTCATAGCAAGTGGTCTCCCAGTCAAACTCCTGTAGAGACAATTTGCATATTAGGCTTTTATATATATATATAGATGTAGAGTTGTTTACTGTTTGAGTTTTGATGATTACAACATGATGGCTTTTAGCATATTACTCTTTGCCTTATATTTCTTATAAATTTGTAGTTTGATCTAGAATCTTGATGGGATCCAAATTCACTTTTTTGACATAAATACTTCATAGGTGGGTTGAATATTCCCTTTTGGAGACATATAACTTCTGGTTGCGTCTCTTTTTGAGTTATTAGCAGTATTATGATTGTTGACTTGATACATTAGTTCACTAGGTGCTACAAGATTGTTACAATTCTAAATCTATATTCATTTATCATGTAGTAGCTGGAGTCTTTCCAAAGAGCAAAACCTTTAATTAATTATTATCCTGAGTCTAGTTCCTATAGGAAAGGCAGGAAAATGCTTGTCTCTCTTCATTTACCAATTTTCAAAGTAATAACTTGGCTCTCTAGCATCTACAATGGCAACCAAATATTTATCATTACAAATTATGTATTTAAAATGTTATGTATTTAAGCCTTTTGCAGGTACTATTATTCTTATTGATATTCAAATTGCCCCGTCTTTATTTAGAATTAGAGGCCAGATGCACAAAAATTTATGCAAGAGTAGGCCTTCCTTCCCCCAGCTTCCCTCCGGCACCCGGGACCCGGGCTTCCCTCTTCCTGCCACTGGCAGGACCCTGGCTGGCTTTGCCCCAGCCCCCAGCTTCCTCAGGACAGACGTCCAGAATGATGTCCAGAAGACGTCCAGTCTAATTAGCATGTTACCCTTTTATTAGTATAGATGATCTTCACCAAATTGACTCCTGAGTCCTTCGACACAATGCTGGTAGTTTTGGAGAGCTTCCTTGCTTTCTGGTATCACAAGATGTTCTAGGCTCATTTTATATACTCTTGGCCTATATGGAATATATACAATTTTTAATGTTACTTGTTAGGTTCAAATAGTTTTCAACAACATTTAGAATATGCATATATTTTTGCTATGATAAATAGGTTTAAATAAATTTAGTACATGAATAAAGCTTATAGAGTGATGTTATCACTTTAGGTAAATCCCACATTTTTAAGGTAAAAAGGGATCCATATTCTTTTGGGAAAGATGCAAGTCTTTTTGGAATCAGGAAGATGATGTTATGATTCTGAATTCTTTTGGATCTTTAATTTGTGTTGTTTGTTAAGCTATTAATAGAAATGATGGCCCTAGCCGGTTTGGCTTGGTGGACAGAGCGTCAGCCTGTGGACTGAAGGGTCCCAGGTTCGATTCCGGTCTAGGGCACATGCTGGGATTGCAGGCTCGATCCCCAGTGGGGGGTGTGCAGGAGGCAGCCGATCAATGATTCTCTCTCATCATTGATGTTTCTATCTTTCTCCCCCTCTTCCTTCCTCTCTGAAATCAATAAAAATATTAAAAAAATAGAAATGATGGATTTGAGTTGGCTGTGAAGTGTTGCAGCAGTTTATGTACTGGCTTTCTAAGTGCTAAACTGCAGATTTAACTTAAGGAAATAAATTCCCAAGTTGTTCTCCTTCTCAATCCTGCATATGTATGGATATTAAAAATATAAAAAGATTTTAAGGTACATGATGCTATAAACACAGAAGTAGTAAAATGGTTTTACATTTGAGAACTTAAGTAAATGTAACAAATCTGTGCGAGAAAACTAAGTTCTACCATCTGGTTAATAAGTGAACATATTAATCTCTATGGGATCAGTCCCAATAACAAAACATGAAACAGAAGGCTGAGAGAAAACAATTTCAGAGAGAAATATAGGAGGAAATAGAGATTATTGGTTCTTAGACTCAAATGGCACACATAGAGTCACCTCACTGAAAATGTACTCAACCTCTTCAGGATATCATTATGACATAATAGACTAACATACATAATGAAACATTTTCTTCCACTCTGTCAGAGAAATTTTTGTAATGTCTTTGATTTAACTCAAACCAGAGGCATTGAAGACATTAAGCTTTAATAATATCCAAAAAATAGAGCTAAAAGAAGGGGATACTGTGCCCCCTCCAAACTATGACCCTTTAGTCAGAACAATAGCATTTAGATAAAATGTGATGTGAAAATATGTAGAAGTGGATCAAGATCATAGCTGTAGCTTTTTAGAAAAGTCAACATCAATTTAGTTGCACAAAAAATATCAGCCTTAAACATATATTCACCCCCTGGTTGGGTAGCTCAGTTGGTTACAACATGGTCCAGATACATCAAGGTTGCAGGCTCAATCTCCAGTCAGAGTACATACAAGAATCAGCCAATTAATGTATAAATAAGTGGAAGAACAAAAGTGTTTCTCTCTCTCTCTCCCCTTCTCTCTCTCAAACCAGTATGTGTGTGTGTGTGTGTGTGTGTGTGTGTGTATATGAATGATAAAAATACTCAAATAAGTCAGAATTGTGTTGTAAAATTGACAGCAAACACATACATATATATGTGTATACACACACACATGCATATATACACACACACACATATATATATATGTGTTTGCTGTCAATTTTACAACACAATTCTGACTTATTTGAGTATTTTTATCATTCATCATTTTTTTCTTTGCCTTCCTAGGCTTATCAACACTGCAAGCTGTGCTGGATTCTGCTGCTGAAAAGAAATGGCAAGTGACGGCTATCAATGTGGGAAACATTAACAATGACAAGAAAGATGAGACCTACCGATCACTTTTTCAAGATCTAGAGTTAAAAAAGGAACGGCGTGTAATCCTGGACTGTGAACGGGATAAAGTAAACGACATTGTAGACCAGGTTTGCTATTCTCTGTTTTCTAATGGTCCTAAATATAGAATATGCATGCACTGTCAGCGTTTGGATCGAGTATTTGTGGAAGGTGCTTGAACAGCAGTTTTTACTTTATGGTTTATGTAGGATGCGGCAAAGATCATCAATTAAATTATCTCCAGCTTCCGTTAGCAATAGCAGATGGTCTTCAATAATGCTGACACATCAGACTAATCATGAAATATAGTTTATATACTAGTATAATTCTGAACTTTTACATTTTACATTAGTGTTGCCCTAAACTTTGGTGTTTTTAATTGGAAATTTAAATTTTAATTCTGTTGAACTTCTTAGAGATAAAGAAATACACATGTCTGGTTCCTAAGAGAAAAGTGAATAATTCATGAATTCTTTGATGATGCCATGGATTACTTCAAACAGTAGAGTACATTACTGTGTGCTAACTCTATCTTGTTGTCTAAATGGGTTTATGTCTCCAGAAAAAGCATGTATTTATTTTTCCCAAAAAGTAGTTTTTTTCCTCCTATTAGGGAGATTTTGTATCACTTTAAACCCATTAATCTATGGAATTAAAATATGTAGGGAAGACACATTCAGTCTGTGTTCACTGTTTGAGAAGCATGCTAGATAGTATATTCATTTGGAATGTTTTAAGGAGTAAGATGATTCCAGAGCTACAGATGCTTTATCTGTGTTTACTATACTACCTTGCTTCAGTTTAAGATATTTTAGAATAGAAAGCCATGCAGTAATATATTATGAAAAACATTTAATCCACTATGGTTATAGATAGGATAAAGTGATGACAGATGGTAGTGAAGCAGCATCATGACTTACTAAGATCTCCTTCACAGGGCATCTGCTTCTTTTCTTAGCTGGTGTGTGTGTGAGAGAGATTTCTAAATGCTTTATATGGCTGAAATATAGTTGATATGTAAAATAATACACAAACTTATACATATATACACATTGAACTAGTTAGTCTCCATTTTATATATATTATGATGACTGCCACCTCCTTGGAATAATACAGGTTCAGAAGAAAAACACAGAGTTGAGTATGCATTTCTTAGAGTTTCTAGGCTTTGAGAAAACAACTAGATTCACTAATTTGTAGAACACAAATCATTTTGCATATATAAATGTTGATGAAGCTTTAATGACATGTAATAAATGGATCTTTCATAAGATACTGAATAACTGAATAATGCTATCTTCTTATATGACAAACCTAAATGTTGTATGCCAGAGAGGTGAACATTTTACTAGAAAAATCTTGATTACTGTGTCAGGAGATGAATTTGAGATTGTTTTTAACCTGGAGGTCTTTTGTTCAAACGTGAACTTCAAAAACTCATTTGAATTTCATAGGAGATTCTCATTAAAAATGAATTTTAATATTAGCCATTAGTCTTTGCTTTAACATTTTAAGTAGTCCTAAGTTACCATAATAAATGTTGGAAAAGCCTATATGAAAATAATTATTTCCAAAATTAGAAGAGAGAAACTACAAGATAAACTAGGAAGATATGGAATGGAATGTTTAGAAGCAATATGATCATGGTTAAATAAATAACCATTTGGAAATCCATTCAAAATGTACAGGGTATTTTGCACATATATATGATTTGTATTTTCATAAAACACTCTTAGATGTGTTAAATTAGTGTATGCAATGGATGTTGCTTTATTCAACAAACATTTATTGAGGACATCCTCTGCATCTGGAATGAGGGATACAAAGAAAGGTAAAGAGTGGTGTCTTCGCCCCATGAACTCATTGTTTAGAAGGGAAGAAAAATGTACATATATAATTCTACAATATCATCAGTGATAATCAATGTGGTCTAAGAGTATGGAAGAGGAAGTACCTATCTTAACATGGGTGGGACGATCTATAAAGATCATCTCTATGTGGCTAGTGTAGATTCACTCATTTTTTTATTCACTAAATTTTCCCAAGTGTCTAATGTTTACTGGACAGGCACTGGAGTAAATTCAAGGCAGTAATGTTAAACAAATAAGTCAAGTCCCCATCAAGGTGAATATTCATGGTATAATTACAGGAATTAATGCATTATTATGACAATGGTACATACTATGAATGAAAGGACAGGATGTTACTTTTCTAAATTACAAAAAGAGATAATTTAGACTGGGAGATTATGGAAGGCCTTCAAGGAATAGAGTTTACTAGGCAAAAAGCAGGTCAAAGTACATTTCAAGAAAACATTATTTACTTCCTCATTTTATCAATAATTAAAAGAGAGTTGAGATGTGACAAAATTTTATTTTCATAGTAGCTTAAAGTTAGCAATAGAATTAAACTTTGTTTTGATTATGAGTTTTTTTTTATCATTTGATGAAACCTGGAGACACTTATTTCTAGTGGTATTTCAGTAGGAAACACTCTCAGTCATGAAAAACATTAAGAAATTAATGTAACTTACTATTGTTAAAAAAATACTAATGGTTATTATAAAGCAAATACATGATTGTTAGTATAGTCGACACTAATTCTTATATAGAAGTAGGGATAATCAGTTTTCATATCCCTCCTTCCTCTTAATGAACACTAAATTCAAGTAGGGACTACTGGTAGTACCATTTATACTGTTTTTTTCTTAATCCCCAGAAGAAAGATATTCATGATTCAGAAAGTAGATTGAACAGTAAGCAGAACCAACAGATATCAGTAGGAAATACAAAGGACATAGTCAACTCAATTTAGCTGATGCTTATTAATATATATTTTTTCATTTAGAAGGATATCTTGTCTTCACAATTCTCCTTTCAATATAGAGGGTCCATTTTTTAGAAAAGCCAATTTAGTGGTGTTACATAAAAATAGTTTAGAAAGTAATGTAGGTTAGAAAGTAATGTAAGTTCTAACTCCCTTCCAAACAATTACCACTTATTATCAAAGTAACATGGTAGAATACTTCCTAGGATTTTGCCCTTGCTCTTTAACTAAATGCATTGCTAATGGAGCACCTGACTTTGCCTGGGACAAGGAAAGGTCAGGGAAGTCTTTCAGGATATTCCATTGGGCTGAGATTCATTGTGCCTTAAGATGAAACAAGACAAAGGATATGGTGGTGGAGAGAGCTGTCCAAGTAGAGGAAACAGAATGTGTGAAGCCCCAATGGGATGGAAATAAGCCTTTTTTGTTACAAAAATACTAAGAGGCCAGAAGTCTCCTGTGTAAAAAGAGGGAAAAGTGGGCCCAGAGAAGCTTGAAACACCACTGGATTTTGCAGCATATGAACGATTTTGACTTTTATGCTAAAAGCAACAGGAAGCCACCAAAACAATCAAGCGGGAGGTTAATAATTGGAAATTTAGTCTACTGCCCTGGCATTTCATGCTTTCCATTGGTGTAGCTATTTTATTAAAAATAAAAATTATACTTGAATATCCAAGTATCAGGACTAAAACATAGCCATTTTACCACTTACACTCTCTTTGTAACTGATATAGATCAGTGAAATATCAAATTGATTCAATAAAGTCCAAAACTGTTCCAGCATTACCAAAACAGCCACTTGTTCCATAATGCATTTATTTTGCTATTGATTTTTGACTTAGATTTATGGATAAATAGCTTCTCCAATACTTTGCTGCCTCAAGCTAGAAATAATAATGTTTATTTGAACTAAGCTATAAACATTTCAAGACTCTTAAGATAGGAATATTATTTTATAGATCCACTATAAATAGTTCATTTATATGCTTGTTAATAGTTGTTTTAAATTTATGTATGACTATAAACTCTGTGTGATTATCTTTGAATGTAGACGTGCGAATATGAAATCTCAGATGTTGATTTTAGCTGTTTAATGTTTCATTGAAAGGACAAAAAACATAGCTATGTAGAGATAAAATTGTGACATGGATTCAACATGTTTTTGTTTTTAAATTTCTTTAAATCTTGTGGCCTTATTTTCACTACTTTGTTATTGACTTTGAAAGTTAACATCTATTAGGTACTAAAATGTACTGTTGTTTTTTCCTCAGAAAAATATTCTCTGGCTTTGGTAATTATATTTTATCAAATATGACTCATTGTGGATTATCAAAAAAACAGAGAAGTTAATTATTCATTTTTTTCTGAGTCAGGTCATTATGTTAGTAATTTTACATTTATATTACTAATATTTATTAAATGATTTTTTTCTTTATCTGTGTTAGGTTATTACCATTGGAAAACATGTTAAAGGATACCATTACATCATTGCAAATCTGGTAGGTGAATTAATAATTTTAATGAAGAATCCTATTAATTAAAAAACTTTAGAACAACCAGCATTTATCAGTGGTATTCATAAAAATATATTTTGTTTATATTGATTGATTAGGTGATAATATATTTCTGAATTTCTGTTTAGATTTACTTCCCACTTTACATTTTTAGTCAATTTCTTCTTATTATAAATGATATAATAAATTATAGAACAGTATTTGACAAGCTTTATAAATTGTCTTAGAAGATGTATTTTTAACTACAGGAAAATTTTCAAAAATATATAAAATTTAACTCTCCCAATTTCCCCTTGTATCTCACTGTCACTGTATTTTATAAACTTTACCCTTTGCCCATTCCTTTAAAGTGCTTAGCACATGTAATATTCAAAGTAAATGCAAATTTGTGAGAATGTCTCAGTAAAAATTAAACCAGGAAAAACACAAATATAGAAAGATTAAATATTATTTATTTACTATTTGCTGTATAAGCAACACAATGAAAGTTGGGTTTCCATAGCTAATCACATTTTCATAATGATTCCAATCAAAGAATGGATTGAATGTCCAAGTGGTTAATTGTACCTCCCTTTCAAGTATACAGAACCAATTTTGAATTATTAGATGTTTTCTTTTTTAAAATACCTTTTATATCAGCAATAAAATAAGCTTAAAGCTTTACTTTTACAAAGATTTGTATTCTTTTATTAAGTACAATTTTATGTGATTGGGAACATCGTCCCTCCCAAATCTCAGGAAAAAAGGCAAGAAAAGTTGGACAGAGGGAGAGAATGAGAGATTATTCTAAATAGCATAATAGGACTCTGAAAAAGTTTCATATTTATACCAATGCAGATTTATTTCATAGTGTCTAGAATATTAGATTGTTACATGAGAAAACATTTATAGTAGTGATGGAAGGAGATAAGAGAAAATAAATTACAACCTTATAACTGATAAATATTTTTACTAGAAGGTGACACCAGTGATTTAGAATATTAAACCTCAAACCTATATGCTATTGAGAGAAATTGGTTGTTCAAGATAAATTTCTGTTTGGCAATGAAATGGCTAACTACTATAAAAATTCACTAGAACTTACCCTTATCATATGATATTGTAGGTCCTAAATCACTCCCTACTGGAGAAGCAAGAGTTAAAATAGATTAGCTCTGTATCCAGTCTCTTCAGAACCAAATTTCTGAGCAGAAAACAGCCTGGACAGTCAGTCCCCTGTGTGAATTGTGCCATTTGATGAACAGCACACAGCCACATTGAAAGCTGCGATCTTTAAAAATGTCCAGATGGAGATGATTTTATTGGAACATTGAGAAATAATGACAGAAGGTGGCTCATCAATTTGAGAGTTGATAACTGACACTATGAAACATGAAACAAGTGTTTGAGTGACCAAAGTAAAAATGTTTTAAAAAGAAAGAAAAAGAAAGTTCATGTTGCTATGATGCTTCTAGGGAGAAACCTCCCCAATCTTTTCTCTGAATTAAAGCTTTGCTTTTCCTTCTCTGAATACTTGGCATCCTTGCCATATGGAATTTCTGATGAATCAGTAAGTTCAAAGAATCTGTAGTGAGTTTCAGTTTCTGAGAAATTATAGAACACTTGAAAATTTCACTGACATTTAAAATTGAAGAATGCTTTCCAAATTTGAAGGGCTTTTCATCTTCCAAACTATTGATTGAGGATGCCCCCTTTTTCTGTCCAGGGTCTGATGAGTGTTACGGTTGGCAGTTATGCAAAAGAAAAATCTTTACATTTTTGGTTAATTTCCTCAGGAATTGCTGAATGCTTGCTTAGGCTGTAAGTTCCTGATATAGCATTTAAAAGGATAACTTGTATATAAAGTGATGAAGATGCGGTTCATAATGGAATCCTTTTCTCATTTCTTCAACTCCTCAAATATTGACAGTAAGCATTGCTGTCTACCCCCCACCCCATCTACCTTTCAATAAAGCACACTCAGTGAGCCTCCCTCATGCACACAGGAATTTCAAGTGTCTTACTATTAAATAACCAAGCATAAGCAGATATTTGAGAAAAAGTATTTGCCATGAAGAATGCAATACACATAAACAGAAACAGGGAAAACTGGAACCACACGAAAAGTGTTTAAATATGTAATGAGTATCTGCAGAGAAATAAGAGAAAATATGTAATTTATAAAAAGAAAAGGATGCTATGGGAAAGAAAGAATTAGAGAATAAGAAAGAGCTCTGGGAAGTTCATTTATTTTCTAATGTAGTAAGTAAAATTGAATGACTTTAAGGATAAAGTTGAGAAAATCTTTCAGATTAGGTAACAAAATAACAATATAATATAAAACAGTGTTACTGAGTATAAGCATTCAGATGGACGTAATCGTGAAAATAGGGGAAGGAAATTATCAAAGAAACATTCAGAAAAATTTCCTATAATAAATGACAAAAATCAGACCATTGAGTACATACAATATATATTTTTTCTTTATTAAGGTATTAACATATGTGTCCTTATCCCCCCATTGCCCTCCCTGGTGTCTGTGTCCATTGGTTAGGCTTATATGCATACAAGGCCTTTGGTTGATCTCTACCCCCTCCTCCCATCCTCCCCTGCCTTCCCTCTGAGTTTGACAGTCTGTTCAATGCTTCTCTGTCTCTGGATCTATTTTTGTTCATCAGTTTACGTTGTTCATTATATTCCACAAATGAGACACACAATATTTTTTTAAAATCATCATGCAATCACAGAGATAAATAGAATATTTAACGATGTCAGGTTGGTGGGAAGAGGGCAGGTGTATGAAGCAGGTCACATCCAAAAAATAATAAGAAATAATAAAATTGCATTGTTTAGTAGAAACCATGAAAGTCAATGGATCAATGCCTTTAGATAATGAGGTTTTTGAATTAAAATTCTATGCCCAGCCAAAATACTAATCAAATGTTAGAGCAAAATAAAGGTATTTTCAGACACTCGACATCTCAAAAGTTTACCTCCAGTGTGCCTGAGGAAATTATTGACTCCAGTAGAAGAGAGGAGTAAAAGATGACAGAAAAGTGATCCAGGAAACAGGAGAACTACTAAGAAAGACAGTGTAGGGTCACAGCTGCAGAGTAGAGGAGAAGAGCAACCAGCTCAGATCATAGGAATAATTTGCTCATAGTGTTAGAGCTCTTGGAGCAGTAACTCATCACTAAGTATCTGTAACCCCCAGACGGTGCTCTGTGGTAGATCTAAAAAATAAAACCTAGTCCTTCTCCATGAAATGGAGAACTCTTATGTATGTACAGCCAATAAACAAGCATGGATTAAGGACCCACCATGATGCCAAGGCTATGCTAGCTGCTGGTGAAGAATTTTGGCTGGAAAATACATGAAACATTTACTATAGGCTTTTCATCTCTCTAACGTTCTTTGACATTTGTAAAATCCACAAGGCATAGAGTTATTTGATAAATGTCAAGTTCTATTGGACATAAATGTATTCTCTGTCTAGGGATTTACGGATGGAGACCTATTAAAAATTCAGTTTGGGGGCGCAAACGTCTCTGGATTTCAGATAGTGGACTATGACGATTCCCTGGTATCTAAGTTTATAGAAAGATGGTCAACACTGGAAGAAAAAGAATACCCTGGAGCGCACACGACTACAATTAAGGTATGTACCCACCTGCCAGTATCTACATCTATAGCTACATCACCATTGCTATCTACCTGCTGGCTAGTAGCCTGCTCTCTGGGACACTTTAGGAAGAAGATAAAAATCTCAATTGATTTTAGTAATTAAAAAAAGAAATGTCTTGCTTTGTGTACTCAGCCATAGAATCTCTGAATGCTGAGTGCAATGCACTACTCTGGTACTATGCAGACTGCTCTTTTATTTTTCATGGGTTTGGACACGTTGAGGTCTTCACCTGTTTATTCAGTGTATTTTATTGAGTATACATATACATGCACAGATTTAACTCCAAATAGCAAATATTTCTGCTATTTATAGGAAGGTATTTTTCCCCTGGTGGTCACTTTATTGTGAGCAGAGATACGAGTAAAGCCTGGCAAAGAGTGGGACGAGGAGTGAGTGGCAGAAGATGATGTTCATTCTTTATGAAAATCAAGAGCAAACGTTGCAAAACATTTTTAGATGCATAGATTTAGTCTGTTTCTTTGTGTATCATAAATAGCTTGTGTATGAATCAGTCAGAGATAGTGTTATTTCAGTTGCTCTCACAGTTATGTCTCTACGTCACAGAGACATTTTGTGTTGTTTTTCTGCACATCTTGGAAAAAACCAATATTGGTGTTTGTCTTTCAATTAGCGTCTGGCCATGAGACTAATTCTAGATAAGGATTCGAAGCTTTGAAGTTCTCAACTTTTGGATGTGTAAATGGATCCTACTAACTTCAAGTCAAATTCCGAAAAGCATCCCATAGGATGTGAAAGAATAACCCAGAGTTCATTTTCTCTCAAAACTAGGTGACTTGTTGTTTGGTGACTTTGAGATTCAGCATGCATACTGCGTATAACTGCAGGGTGGGCTTGTGGGACTACTGTCACCTAACAGGCTTCTGCAAAGGCCAGTGGACACTGAGCTTTCCAGTCGGTGTCACTGTGTGTCCCCCTCGCTCAGTGGAGGTCTGACTGCTGACCCAGTTGTGTGGAATTGCAGGCTTCCATCCATTCAGAGATGGTACCATTTAAGTTATCGGATGAAGAGTGCAAGTGGCATTCATCCTCACATGGAACTAAAGTGCCCTCTTTGAATACTCTATTCGTCATTGTGTTGCCTCCCACTGCTGCCTGCTGGGAGAAAGATGAAAGCAAAATGAGATGATTTTTTTTCTTGTGGAAGTCATATCATTATTAGAGTTCCCATGTCATGCATAAAAATGCAAAGTGATTCGGGGGTAGGAGAGATCTTGGCAGTGCATTCTTTTAACATTTTTTGCCAAAATTCAGCACCAGATTTCCCTCTGTTGAGAGCCTGCCTGGTGACCTTCCTTTGCTCCCTCCCTGCTGTAGCATTTCACTCCCTTACCCATCCCTCTTGGGTGCTCCTGCCAAATGTCAGAGAGATCCTGCTGGCCCCTCATGGCGGAGAGCAGCACAGAGCATACGCTTTAAACAGTGTGGCCCTGATTCAGTGTTGGATGTGCAGTTCTTGTCTCCACAATTCAGCAGTGGCTATTAATTCCCAGGTTGCCATGAAGACTCAACATTTACAGTGACTTAGCGCAGCTTCAGAAACATAGTTGCCACTAGGAGGCAGAGTTTGTATGGCTTTGGAGGCTTGATAAAAATTACAGAAAATCCCTGGGAGAATATGGCTTTAAGTAGGAGTTCATCCTAACAAAGGCATGTATGTTCATGTACTAGCGGACCAGAAACTCAATATATATTCCACTGTTGAACGGAAGAGACAAACATGGCAATAAGCAAATATAGAGAAAGCTACATGTAAAATATGCCAGTGCTGCTTCTGGTTATGCCAGAATGGGAGGAGTGATGGTAAGGAAGGCTTTCTGAGGGGGTGTGGGGGGGGCACCTGGGCAGGGCTCTGCACATGGCTGAGCAAGAGGGAAAGCAGGGGAGGCACTTAGGAAAGTGCAACATATATGGAGACTCAAAGCGATGCAATCACTCAAGACAGATTCAGGGAGATTCACAACATGTAAGCCCTGCAAACTATTCCCTCAACAATCTTTTCTTTTCAGTTGTTATTTTTCCACAGTAACCCACATTCAATCTGTCAGCAAATCCTATCAGCTCTGGCTCCCTTCTTACCACCTCTTCTGTGCCGTCTAAATCCAACCACCATCGTCTCTGCCAGGATCATTGGAATGATCGCCTATACTGGTTCCCCTTCCTCCACACCTGCCCTCTTTATCCCATGTCTGTGGTCCTTTTAAAACCACAATTAGAATATGTCACACTGTCTGCTCCAAGCCCCCCAATGGCTGTGTGTTTCACCTGAGGGAAAACCAAAGTCATCCCACTGGCTCATAAAGCCCTAAGTCCTCTGTCTCCTGGTCACATGACCTTCTCTATTGGCACTCTCCCCACCCATTGCTCATTCTGCCTCAGCCACATGGGCCTTTTTGTTCTTTCTTAAGCACTTTAAGGTGTTTGTGCAATTTCCTCTTCTGTACCATTCTCCTCTTAAATATCTCCATGGCTAAGCCTCCTGTACTCTTTAGATCTTTGTTCAAATGCCATCTGTTCAAGGAAGACAATAGCAGGATCTCTATTTAAAATTGCAATTTCTGTCCTAGCCAGTTTGTCTCAATGGATAGAGCGTTGGCCTGTAGACTGAAGGGTCCCAGGTTCGATTCCAGTCAAGGGCACATGCCTGGGTTGCAGGCTTGATCCCCAGTGGGGGGGTGGGGGCATGCAGGAGGCAGCCAATCAATGATTGCCTCTCATCATTGATGTTTCTCTCCCTCTTCCTTCTTCTCTGAAATCAATAAAAATATATTTTAAAAAATAAAATTTATAAAATTGCAATTCCTGCACCTGTCTAGGTATGTACCATTGCCCTTTCTCTGTTCTGCCCCCACCATATGTCCTTCTAGTGTACTGTATTTATAATTAATCTATTCATTACTTTGGTAGTTGTCTCCTCTTATAAGTGCCATGGGAGCAGGGATTCTGTTGTTGTTTTTTTGTTCACTGATGGATCCCAAGCTCCTAAAATAAGGCCTGGCACATAGTAGCTATTTAATAAAGACTTTCTTTGTTTTTTGATACATTTTTATTGATTTCAGAGAGGTAGGCAGAGGGAAAGAGACATAGAAACATCAATGATGAGGGAGAATCATTGATTTGCTGCCTCCTGCACACCCCCCATTGGGGATGGAGCCCACAACCCTGATGTTGGCCCTGATGGGAATCCAACCAGTGACCTCTTGGTCCATAGGTCTACACTTAACCACTGAGCCATGCCGGCAGGGCATTTATTTATTTTTTTTATTCTCTAGGGTTGAGCCCTATCCGGTTTGGTTCAGTGGATAGAACCTCAGCCTGCAGACCTAAGGGTTCGGGTTCCATTCCATTCAAGTGCCCCTAGCTTGGTTGCAGACTCCTCCCCTTCCTGGGCCCTGGACAGGCATGTGCAGGAGGCAACCAATGGATGTGTTTCTCTCACATCCTGGTTTCTCTAGGTCCTTCCCTCTCTCTTCCATGCTCTAAAAAGCGATGACATAATACCCTCAGGTGAGGATTGGAGAAAAAAAAAAGAATAGAGTGCTAACTTTGCTAGGGGTGTGACAGTGCTCTAATAAAGACTTTCTGAAAGAACAAATAGATGGAAGCAAAGGCACTGTTCCAGTTCCCATTAGAAGCTCCTAAGTTCTGGAAACAAGGAAAGGCTACTTAGAAGAAGCAATATGGAATGTGAAACCTAAAGGAGACGTAGGAATTAGAAGAAAGAAGGGTCAATGGCTCTGCAGAGAGGAAATAAGGCATGTAAAGTCCCCAGTGCAAGGAAGATATAAATATTTCCATAGGCCTAGAGGTCGAACAGAGGTGTTTTGAGAGAATTCTCAGAACCAGTACTATAGAAACATGCAGGATCCAGATCTTGTGTGCCTACAGGATTTTGTGTGCTATTCTGAGAGCAACAGGGAACTACTAGAGGTGACTGATGACCATGGTTTTGGTAAAGGATGATTATTGTGACTGCCTTGGTGACAATAGATTGTAGGGGGTGCACGTGGTGGCAGGGGAGCTTTAGTAAGATGCTGCAAACAATCTAGGCAACAGATGATAGTTGTATGAATTGGGGTTGTGGCATAAAAGTGGCAGGAAGTAAATGTATTTGTTGTATTAGCCAATTCTTTCAATTTCTTTATTTGTAAAATAAATAATAATTGCAAAAGCATAATCATTCATTTATAACATATTGATATAAATTTGGTTAAGAGATATTTGTTGATTAAAAACAGGAACCTGAAAGGAAGTCTGTATCACTTATAATCTTATTGGGCCCGAATCTCATATAGTGGTTTGCACAGAATAGGCACATAATGAGTATTTGTTGCAATGAAGAGTAATGAAATGAGAAAAATATAAATGCTTTGAAAATGTCAAATCACTGAGAAAGAAAAAATAGGTAATTATCATCGCTATAAAATTTGGTTTAAATTTCTGCCCTAGCATTTATGTGTTTTTTTTTATTCAGCCATGGCGGAAAAGTAGCATTATTTTACTTGATGAAATGTAAAATGAAATGTAAAATGACCTACACCGTCATGGCACCTGGAAGTAAATGGCACAATTAAAATTGGCATTTTTACCTCCCTTACCTTTTTTTTCCCCCAAAACAAGGAAGATTTTAAAGATGATTTGCTGCTCTCTTAAAAATGATTTACAACTATTTTTATTTTTAGATAGTTTTTTTGGTGTCTTCAACAACTTGCAAGATATAGCTATACATTATACTTTGTCATAGCAACAAGTTATACCTTATTTAGACTCTGTGTTTTCCATGTCTTGCTGATGTTGAATTTAACAATAATATGTGACTAATATTTGAGTGGCATTTAAAGAGTGCCTTTCCCACAGGAATCCCATTTTACTCAAGAATTGACTTTACAGCAAAGACTCCAACTTTCTTAATTGCTGTCCTAAGAGAGTTATTAAGCCTGTCTGAAAATAGTATA